CTGGTGGCCTGGGCGGTGTCCAACTGGAATCCACAGTCTGCCAGGGTGCGCTACTACCAGACCCTGCAGGCACATCTCAAGGTGGACGTGTACGGGCGCTCCCACAAGCCGCTGCCCCAGGGGACCATGATGGAGACGCTGTCCCGGTACAAGTTCTACCTGGCCTTCGAGAACTCCGTGCACCCCGACTACATCACCGAGAAGCTGTGGAGGAACGCCCTGGAGGCCTGGGCCGTGCCCGTGGTGCTGGGCCCCAGCAGGAGCAACTACGAGAAGTTCCTGCCGCCCGACGCCTTCATCCACGTGGACGACTTCCAGAGCCCCAAGGACCTGGCCCAGTACCTGCAGGCACTGGACAAGGACCACGCCCGCTACCTGCGCTACTTTCGCTGGCGGGAGACGCTGCGGCCTGGCTTCTTCAGCTGGGCACGGTGTTTCTGCCAGGCCTGCTGGAAGCTGCAGCAGGAACCCAGGTACCAGACGGTGCGCAGCATAGCCGCTTGGTTCACCTGAGAGGCCGGCGTGGGGCCTGGGCTGCCGGGGACCGCGCTTTCCCCGGGCCTCACTGAGCGGGACCTCACCCACCTAGGGACTCACTAGTCTGGGGATTTACCTACCTGGGGCCTTACCATCTACTGGGCTCACTTCCCTGGGACCTCACCTGCCTGGGGCCTCACCTGCCTGGGGCCTCGCCTGCTGGAGGCTTTGGTGGCTGACATGACATTTACCTGGGATTTCACATGCCAGCCTTCATGGCTGCCAGGAGCCTGCCCTGTTGGGGACCTTGCCTGCTAGAGGCAGCACCTACTGAGGATCTCACCTGTCGGGACTTGACCTGCTGGGGTCCAGCTCCCAGGGACCTTGCCATACTGAATCTCACCTGCTGGGAGCCTCACCTGCTGGGGACCTCACCCTGGAAGGCACTGGGCCCTGGGAACCGGCACCCTCGAAGCCTTGCCCCAGGTGATGGTGCTGGCTGGCTGACCTGTGGTTCTACTCTGTTTGTAACCAACTGTGAGAGGTACAGACAGACAGTGCTTTACCGTTTTCAGACAAGAATGCTTTGAGGAAAACTCCTGTGTCCCTCACTCTAGGATGGGGTGCTCATGCAGGCGATTCTGCCCCCAAGGGCACTTGGCAATGTCCAGAGACATTTCCAGTTGTCACAACCAGGGGAGGATGAGGTCACTTAGTGGGTAGAGGCCGGGGTTACTCTGAACCCGCTACGATGTACAGGTCGGGGTCCCATAAACAACAATGATGGTTCCAAATGTCCAGGAGCAGAAAACCCTGTTCTAGAACTTTCTATGGCCCTAGAGGTCAAGCCGCTTGGTTGGGGGGGGTGGAGGTCAGATCCCTCTGGGGTCCTCTCCTCCAGCGGGCTTCCCGGAGTGGGCTCTGGCACGCACCCAGAAGTAAAAGTCGGTTTTCTGAAGATCTCAGGTCAAGAACTCCAAAGTCAGGCAAGCCCTGCATAGAGCCCTGCTCCACTGCTTAGGGGCCACAGGTGGGTTCTGAGTGTAAATGAGGACCAAGGGGGACCTGGTGTTGGAAGGTAGTGGTGAATCCCAGGTGTTCTCTGAGCCTCAGTTTCCCCATTTGCACAGTGGACATGCAGGCTCCAAGGGCTGAGTGGGGCCCACACTCTCCAGAGGTGAAGTTGGGCAAGGCTGGGATAAAGGGACCCTCTCTGCCCAGGGCACAGGGCCCAAGGGCACTGGATGTGTTGCCTGAGTTGTGCAGGACAGGTCAGGGAGGGGAAGCGTCCCCTGAGGAGGAGGTCAAAGGGTTTGTGTGTGACCGACAGCAGGGGTATGCACATGGCTGGGGGGACACTCGGTATGACCATCAGCAGGTCGGTGTCACGAACGCATCACTGTGGGTGTGACCTCGGCGTGACTCTGATAGTGCCCGCGGATGCGTCGTGATGCCCGCCCATGGTGCTATGTGGGTGTTCGTGGGTGGTGGCGATTCCCAGTGTGAGATGGACTGTGTGTCCCTGGGAGTGAGGCTTTGAGTGTTTGATGGCATGGGGGCCCCTCTCCGAGTGTGCGGGCCTCTCCGAGTCTGTGTGTCTCTCTGTGTGACCATGCAAGGCTGTGTCTGCATGGACCTGTGTCCTTGGGTGTGGTGAAGTGGGCTGTGTGCGGCCACCTATGGGGCTCTAAGCTGTGTCTGCCAGTGGCTGTGACCGTGTGTGTGGCCTTGTGGATGAGCAGGGAGAGGTAGGGTTCTTAAAATATTACAGGTCGGGCGCGGTGGCTCATGCCTGTAATCCCAGCACTTTGGGAGGCCGAGGCGGGCGGATCACCTGAGGTCAGGAGTTCGAGACCAGCCTGACCAACATGGAAAAACCCCATTTCTACTAAAAATACAAAATTAGCCGGGCATGGTGGTACATGTCTGTAATCCCAGCTACTTGGGAGGCTGAGGCAGGAGAATCACTTGAACCTGGGAGGCAGAGGTTGTGGTGAGCCGAGATCGTGCCATTGCGCTCTAGGCTCAGCGACAGAGCAAAACACCATCTCAAAAACATAAAAAAACTATTACAGGAGGGGAAACTGAGGCCCACAGAGGACCAGGGACCCAGGCCAATCATTCCTCCCAGCAGGGGGGTCTGCAGAGACCCCGCAGGATGTTGAGGGGATCAGCGTGACCTCAGCCTCCTGAAGAAGGTGCGGACAGTGGCTCCACTTTGCAGAGAAGGTGGCTGAGGCCCAGAGAAGTTGAGGAACTCACCCAAGGCCACACAGCTGCCAGAAGTGAAAGTCAGATCTCAGGTCAAGAACTCCAAAGTCAGGTAAGCCCTGCACAGAGGCCTGCTCCACCAGTTATGGGCTGCAGGTGGCTTTGACTGTAAATGAGGACTTCCAGAACATTCTGGAACATTCTGGGCTTGGGGGAAATTGCTGCTCTGTGGAGAATGCCAAGGGGGACCTGGTGGTAGAGGATGATGAATCCCAGGTGCTCTCAGAGCCTCAGTTTCCCCATCTGCACAGTAGACATGCAGAGGTGCCTGTGATGCCTCCCTGAGGCCCAGGTGGGACGGTGGAGAGGAATAGGGTGGGAGGGTGTGGGGGACCTAGAGAGTCTCTGCCAAGCCCCCTGGTGACCCCAGGCCTGAGCCAGCCTCGCTGGGCCCATCACTCACCTGTCACCCACACCACACACCTGGGTCCCTCTCCCCACTGCCTGGCTGCAAGCCAGGGGTCCCAGGAGGGGATCAGGGCCCTCAGCAGCCCAGGCCAGGGCTTCCTAACAGGCTGGAACAGGGCCAGTCCCCAGGGGAAGAGGTGTGGGGACAGGCTGCTCTGTCCCCTGGCACCCCTGGAGCCCCCGTGGTCGCCACCTCTACCTGAACTCATGTCAGAATGAACAGCTCCCTTTCTCAACTTCTCTTTCTCTCCCGCTAGAATTTCCTCTGAGGCTTAGAGGGACAGGGAAACCCTCCTTGGGTCCCACAGGGGCAGAGGCCCAGCCAGCTGGCCAACACTGGGGGACCCAGGCCTGCCCCCTGTGGAACCCTGGCACCACCCCAAATGTGCATTGCCTCCCGCCTGCCCCAGATCTCACGTGTGGTTCACGGCGCACCCAGCCCAGCCCGTGGGCCTTCTCCCTCCTCCTGAGCGACAGCTGCCCTTGGCTCCCAGCCCTGAGGCCCCAAGGGGAGAGAAATTTCCAGCAGGCTGGCAGCTCCACCACCCACCCAGCCCAGGCTGAGGGAGGACTTGGGGGTCTGATGAGGGCAGAGACCCCAGTGAGGAGGTCCTCGTGATCCCCCACTCCGGGCTCTTGGACAGGGAGGTCCCACCCAGCACCGGCCTGGTGAGGGCCAGGAAATCTCTCAGGTCCCACAGCAATGTCAGGATAAGCACACACTATCTCTGGCAATGGGCTGCAGCTCCTCTTCTAGATCTTAGTGGCCAGAGGCTGGTCCAGCTGTGGATCTGATGGCCAAGGGGCCTGGGTGGGAATCCCAACCCCCAGCCCCAGCCCTCCAGACTCCTGGCTACGTGAACAAGGCAGACTGCAGTTGGATGTCCCAGGAGGAGGGAACCAGTTCAAAGGACATAAGAAGGGATTCAGGTTGAAGGCCAGTCTGAGTGTGCGCCGTGAACTGCCAGGGCGGATCTCTGGGCAGGAGCTCCGTGGGCGACAGTGCCAGTGTGGGAATGACCACATTTGAGTGGGGTGGGGTGACCTCACCAGGAATCTCTGTTCTCTGCCCTGCTCTATCAAAAGAGCATGTGGCTGGGCGTGGTGGTTCACTCCTGTAATCCCGGCACCTTGGAAGGCTGAGGTGGACAGATCACTTGAGGTCAGGAGTTCCAGACCAGCCTGGCCAACATGGTAAAACCCTGTCTCTACTAAAAATACAAAAATTAGCCAGGCGTGGTGGCATGTGCCTGTAGTCCCAGCTACTTGGGAGGCTGAGGCAGGAGGATTTCTTGAACCTGGGAGGCAGAGATTGCACTGAGCCAAGATCGGGCCACTGCACTCCAGCCTGAGCGACAGAGCGAGACTCTGTCTTTAAAAAAAAAAAAGGCTGGGTGCAGTGGCTCATGCCTGTAATCCCAGCACTTTGGGAGGCCGAGGTAGGTGGATCACGAGGTCAGGAGTTCGAGACCAGCCTGGCCAACATGGTAAACATGGCCTCTACTAAAAATACAAAAATTAGTCTGGAGTAGTGGTGCGTACCTGTAATCCCATCTACTCAGGAGACTGAGGCAGGAGAATCATTTGATTCATTCTTCCGGGAGGCGGAAGGTTGCAGTGAGCTGGGATCGTGCCACTGCACTCC